GATGTGATTTTCTCCTGTCAGGATCTTGCAAAATGGAAAGATCGTCGAAAAAGCTACACTTCAGATTTGCAGAAGAAAAAAGAAGAGAGAGAAGAAATTGAAAAGCAGGCGCTTGAGAAATCTGAGAGAAGCTCTAAGACATTTAAGGAAATGCTCCAGGACAGGTAATAAAGCTGAATGCATCTCATGGTTGGAGAGATTAGTGTTAGAAATTGATGTCTTGTGTATGTGTGGAGTGATTTGAGTATGCACCAATATTAAACTGTAATCAAATATGCAATGAAACATTCAGCATTTTGCTCTGCAGTGAAAAAAAACAAGAATTGCTGTAATAAATAGTGACTTGGATTAACAAAAGAAGTGAGTGCTAAGTAGGTGTCCATTATTTCTTCATTTTACATTGAATAGTCACATGCAGAACTGGGTGGTGGTGGCTATATTTGGTGTAGAAAATGAACTACTTTTTCTCCTTTTGAAGTGAATTAGGAATGGAATGGTCAAATAAAACCAGTTCACACTCAGTAAAATATAACAAAGTTCTTTTTCATGTTTTCGTGGTGCAATTAATATTATATTTTAAAGGAGGACCATATAAGCATAAATTGTGAGGTTATATTTTTTGCCTCGCGACGTAGATAAAGATCAAATTTAAACTTTCCTGTACAGCAGTTACTATGTGAAACTGGGATATTTGCAGGTCAGAGAGATGGCAAATATGCTTTATTAAGGGTGATGTCAAAAAGGAAATGTGCCGCCAGGTGAAATTAAACAAAGCTCCTTTGTGGCCTAGAAGCCAATGGTAAACACAGTTCCATTCATTTAAATGCAACACAATTGCTTGAGAGTTACTCTTTACTAAAGGGTAGCGATGAGACTGTTTCATCAGTTTTTCTATAAATGTGAATAGTGACTTTTAATCTGTAATAATTGTCCTTTCATGCAAATTCTCTGTATGAAATCATATAATAACTTGATCTTAATGGAAGTCTGAGTCTTTTCTAGTCTTTTATTTTTACTAAATTGTTATAAATCATGTACAGGAAAAACTCACAATACTCACAGGGAGTCTACATCTTTGCAGGGTTCAAATTGGTTGTCAGAGAATTAGTTATTATTTGTAGTCTGTTAATTTTGGAAGAGTTATAAACTTGTGGATAAAATTTGTGAATAATCTCTTATTAAAATTTCTTTATTTCTTCATTAAACAGCTTTACAACTTAGAAAAAAGTTTCCTTATGAAATATTTGAGAGCTTCTTTCTCTAAAAAAAAAAAGGTCAAGCTCTTATAATCTTTCTTAGCATGGCATAAGAAATTACATGTATTCTCATATTCTGTTAATGTCGTATTGCTTATTACCAAAAAAAAAAAAATAACATCTGTCTCTCTATCTTTGTATGTCAAATGCATAACTTTGTGGTTATGATATGTTTCTTTCTGCTAAGGGAATCCCAAAATCAAACATCTACAGTTACATCGAGGAGGAGAATATATTCTTCTGATGATGAACTGAATGAACAAAAGCTTCCGCTGACACCGACTATGTCAGAAGCAAGTTACCAGAGTGAGAGAGTAGAAGAGAAGACAACAACTTATCCTACAGAAATTCCTAAACAAGATTCTACAACTTTTGCAAAAAGAGAGGACGTTCTAACTGCTGAAATTCCGCTTTCTTCTAAAAACCTTGTGGACGAACAAGGCCCAGCCTCTTTGTCTTCTCAGCGTTCACTGCGTACACAAGTGGAGTCAACTCGAGTTTCAGCTTCTCTCCCCAGAAGTTACCAGAAAACTGATACAGCCAGGTTAACATCTGTGGTCACACCGAGACCTTTTGGCTCTCAGTCAAGGGGAATCTCATCGCTCCCGAGATCCTACACGGTAAAAAAGTGTTCCAGTTCATTTACTCTGTTCTCAAGAGCAGATTGTTGGTGAACTTGTGCAGAGGTTTGATGTGTAAAATGTACATAACTTATATATAAAGCAATTTTATTTTAGCCAATTTAGATGTAGTAGACAAATTGATGCTTAAAATATAGCAACGATATAGAATTAAACTTTTAATTCAGTGAAAGAAGAGCTGACACATTTTAAAGAATGAATATGCTACATTCCCAGGCACAGCATTTACTTTTTAGCGTCATATTTTCTCAAATATAGCTTTTGTAAAGTATTAGGTTGAACTATATGAAGTTGTGAGTAGTCAATTATTTTAGGCTTTACAAAACAGCAATTTCATATTGTTTAATTTAAATATTTTCAGTTTATGTACAAATTTCTGTTTTTCCTGATTTCCACTTTATTAGAACTTGATATATTTGAATGTAGTAATTCAAATGTATCTCATGTTTAAAAAATACATACATATTTCTATTTATATTGGGATTTTTAAGAATATGGAATCATTTGCCCTGAGAATGAAGCAGTACCACATACCTGCAAGTGGGTGTATTAATTATGTAAAAGGAAGCAATAGAGTCTTAAGATCAATGTTCAAATTCTTTTTACCTCTACCAGTGTGGAACTCTAAAATCTAAAAGAAAAATTTGATTTAAAAAAATTGAGGTGAGGGAAGCCTGTCTAAACTATCTGGAAACTTCTGACCATTATCTTAAGTAAAATACAGGCATATTTGACAGCATAACAATTAAATTTATTTGACAGCCACATTGTTAACATAGTCAAAAGACAGTTTATAGATTCAGAAAAATATTAGTAAAATGTATTATACATATAGGGTTAATAATCTTAAGATTTAAATTAGTCCTACAAATTGGTATGGAAAGAATAACCAATAAAAAAAATAGATACAGAAATGAATAGCCAGTTCAAGGGAAAGGGAATTTAAATGGTCGATAACATAAAGCACAGAGACACATGTTCAACCTCATTAGAACAAGAATAAGATGTATAACTTTCACTCATCTGATTGACAAAGATTTAAAACCTTCGAAATGTCTAGTGTTGGCAAGGATGCAGAGAAAGAGACATTCTTATACATTATTTTGGAAGTGCATAGCTACAATTTTTAAAAGACATATATATGTATAATATATATGTTACACATAATTTTAATTTTTATATATTGTTTAAATATATCTATAAATATAAATAAATAAATAAATATAAATCTATATGTATGTAAATATCCTTTGATCCAGCAAGTCTACTTTTGGAAATCTAAGCTATAAAAATAAAAATGTTTATAAAGGTAAGTGGGTATTTGTTGCAATATTTTTGGAAGTTATAGAAAACTTTAAACATTGCATGTGAATACATTGTAGGTATGGAGTATTCAACAATTAAAGAGTAGAGTTCTATCTATTGACCTGGATTGTAAACGAGCAAAGCAAGTTTCAGAGGTCTGTTTATAATATAAACACTTCTGTAAACACTACTCCTCCCACTAAATATGTGCATATCTACTGGTGTGAAAGAATGTGCTCCAAGCTTTTAGTAATGTTGCCGTGCTGTGGAAGGTATATATTACTTTCATAGTTTTAAAAAGACATCTAACAGAATATTGTTTAAAATGATGTTTCCTATTTAGATGGATGATGTTTGGAAGTATAATGGAGACATAGAAGGTGTGAAGAGAACTCAACACAGTACGGTCAGCACCTCTGTGCAAAAACCTGACCCAAGCCAGCCTGCTTTTCGCTCCTTCAGTAAAAGAGAAGCAACGACATCTGGAGAAGATATGATGAGGTTGCCCTCTCCTACACCCCGCTTCTCATCTCTTTCCCAGGACCAGGATGCCACTTCTAAAGCCACGTTGTCTTCAACATTTGGCCCCGATTTAACGTCTGAGCTTCAAGAAGGGAGAAGCTCACCACAGACGGAGGTCTCAAGATCAAAGGTGAGTTTGAGCACTGCTCAGAAAGATAGTATTTAAACTGGAAACCATTGATTCTAACCGATGTTTCTAGGCGTTATAGTCACTTACATAGGCTGATAATGTGGAATATGAGATTGCCTTTTATTTTTAACAGATCTTGGAGGAAGTAGGTCTCTTTCAACTTTGAATTTATGGATCCAAATAACCCTTGTGGAATGAGTGTTTCGAGACCATTGGCCCATCTCCTTGGGGGGTGGGGCGGGTTGAGCTGGGTTTTCTTTCAACGCCTCATCTCAGCAGCTGTTGCCTTACACTACTAGTGCATGGTAGTCCCAGATTCAGGCTCAGGAGTCACTCTGGAGGTTTTAGTTGTTGGTTTCATAGATAAATGGGTCACTTAAGCTGCTTAAGTGACCGCAGGAGAAGTTGGTATAGATGAAAGGTGCTGGCCTCTAGGGACATAGCATTTCTTTCTCTATCATGTTAACCTTCTAAGTGACTTTCAATACTAATTTATATTTTAGAAAGTCTAGACTTTTGTACCATTCTTTGACTCTTAATGGGAATACCAAGGTTCAGTTATGATAACTGTGTTGCTTAACGTTGGAGTCCAAACAAAATATATCATGAGATGAGCAATGGCTGGAGCATTTGTAGTTTTTCCTACTTAAAATCCTAAAAGATGACTTAAGAGAATTATTAAGTAATGGGTGTTCTTTTAGTATGTTTTACATGTAGGCTAAAAAGTTGTTGGTTGTCTAGAGAACAGAAAACTTTTATCTTAAAAAAAAAAAACAAAACCCTTGTTAAACAATTTGACGTGTGAACCACTTAACATGGAGGAGCTTTTGTGGTTCCTTGGCTTAGTCTAGGTTTCTCTGGTTCCTTCCCACAGTTTATTTCTTTTATAAGGTACAACACCAAGTATACAACTTGGCCTAAGTTATGTTCACGAAATAACTGTATGTGAAATAATTTACTATAACATATTTAGTATTATTAGATTTTTATTGGTACAGTAACACTTTACAACTTTAGGGTAAGCTTTTTTTCTTTCTGGTTATGAAGTACAATGTGCCTGGGGAAATTTGGAAATGCAGGAAAGTTATACATGAAAATCACTGATAGTCCCACCACTGAGGGATAATCTTTGCTAACATTTAGGTTTATTTCTTTCAGTTTTTCCCATGTGTATTTATAAACATATATCTAAAAACAATTAGTGCCGCTCGTGAAAATCATTAGTTGTAAATTACTTTTTTACTTCATTTTTAAAGAGTTGGGAATATATAATTTACATCATAGGATTCAATGGATGAGAATAATAGGCTATGTTATTTGGGGAGCATAAGGTATTAATGGATGAATAACAAATAGAAGCAAGGCATCTTTCATTTTATAGACTCATGTGTTTGCCTTGACCTTTTCAAAAAGCAAATCCAAAAAAACAGATTTATGTCTTGTGCACTAGGTAGAGGTAACTCCCTCAGCATGATAGTTGACTAGCTCATCCACGGATTAGGAAAAAGAGGCTTCGTGTGGTGTGTGGGTGTGAGCCAGGTTATTGCAGTTCAGAAGAACCTGAATTAACATGGCATGGTTTCAGGTTTCACCCTTAATGGATTTCTGCTCCTCTATTACCAAATTTGAAATAGTATTCTACCAAGCAACATTAGGCTTTATTTAGCAAGTGGAGTGGTTGGAATTCTTGAACATACATGTGTATCTTATGGCAACTTGCCTGTCCCTGAGGTGCTTGGTGTGTTCACTTCTGCGTTCTTGAGGAAAGTAGCTTATGTAGAATCATCTTGCTCTTCACTGAGAAAAAGCTTACTGACTTGTGGAAAGGATTGTGAAGGCACAAAATAGCCAATGACTGATATGCTAAGGGCATATGCAACACTCCTCCAAATGCTTGTCCAAACTATAATTCTAAGAGTTCAGAGAATAGAAAAATAAAAAAAAACAGTGTGTGGCTGAACATCTAAATTTCTTGGTAGTTTTATAGGTGTTCTTTAGATCTTCTTACTCTTCCTTACACTTTTGCTGGTAATGTCCTTTTATTTCTTCCTCTAGAATTGCCCTCGATGTTATATTTTTCTCCCTGCTTCAATAGAAATTTAGGCTCTTTCCTCATCAATGCAAATGCATTGTATGTTTGTGCATTCTACAAAGGCTGGCGTCAGATTAGCCTGCGTGATGTCAGGCTGGACTCAGTAATTTCTCTGTTCCAAATCCTCCATTGGTACTCCGTGGACTGTTAATAAAGTCCAAAGCACTCAAAAGAGACAGAGATCTCTCATCATTGGTCCACAATTCCCTTTGCAGTGCTGCGACAGCTGTTTATTGAGTGCTTCCCAGGCGGCACCCAGGAGTCTCAGGGCATTATCTTAGTCCTCAGTGATCCTTGTATCATCGTTTTATAGTTGTGGAAATCAAGGCATGAAGTGGTTTTGTTACTTGTCTGAAGCCGTACGAGGTATCGAGTGGTGGAGTCAGGATTTGAACCCAGGCAATCCGACTCAGGGTTGCCTACACAACGCTGTGTTGTGGGAAAGAGAGGGAAGGCAGGTGATCTAGCTACACGAGACGGCTTGCTCTTTCTTGAACACATCCTATGCATTTTTGAACACATCATAAATATTCGTTCTTGTTGTTGCCCCACTTGAAAATATTCGTTTCACCCATCTCTGTCTTTTGAAGGCCTCCTGTTCTTTCAAAGCCCAAGAGGAGCATCTCCTTCAGGAACCAAAATATCATCTTCCCTTCGTTAGAACTGAACTTTTCACCCTCAAAAGCTTCATTTGCTGAGTTGTCTCATATGCTCATCATGTCTCCTTTACTGGTTTTCTTTATACCCTCCACAGCCTTTACATATTGTTGGCAGTTAAGTATTTACAGAGTTGAACTGCATTCAAGGCCTCGATTTCTAGACTGAAGTATGAATTTGATCCAGCAGGTAATTTAGGTCCTTATAGGTTAATATGGGAATTTTAAGAATAAAGGGTGTTTTAGGAATGTAAGCACTGTGATATCACATAAAACTATTTTAAGGAAAGAAAGTCTAGGGGGCAGAAACTGGTTAGGAGCATATCACAGATTAGTGATAATAGGTGGCTTATGTCATCAAGAAGTAAAGGCTGAGTAAAGGGAAGACCTGGCTATGACTGCATTTAAGACCTGCCCTCAGGAATTTCTTTCCCATCTCCACTGCTGAGTTGGGGCTTTTATTCCCCTCTCTTCACTTTTCTCCCCTACTTGTCTTTTTGTGATGCTTCGTTGCCAGCCTCCCTGGCCATTCAGGCTCCTAAGACAATTCTCGGGGTGACTCTGACCACAGGGAGAGAGTTCGACTCTCAGAGTCCTTCATCTTCTTCTGACTCATTGATGTGGCTTTCATGATTTTCCCTCAAATCGGTCTTGCCTACAGGTTTTTTATTTTGTCCTATCAGAGCCCTCTATTCTCATATCCCATCCAAACTCACGTTTTGAAATCTCTGCCCTAGATTTTTTAAAGCAGTATGCAGATGTAGGATGAGACACATGGAAGGCAAGAAGCTTTTTATATGTTCGTTCCCTGATCCCCAGCTATGATAAACGCCCCTTTTAATAGTGCCAGGGCTTATCCCATCACAGCTTCTTACCATGCATTTTACTTGCTTGTCACTTTCCCTATAGCAGACTTTTTTTGTGAAGGCACCAAGCAAGCCTGTCTTTCTCACTGTTAGCGCAGCGCTGGGATCTATATCTGTTGAATGCTGACTGAGTTCTATTGGAGCTACGCATGTGAGCATTACATAGAATTTTCTTCAGTTGGTCCAGAAACTGCTTAATCAGCCTATATTTGATGTATAACGTTGTTTCCATGGGAAATAGAAGGTAATGACTATCAACCAGGTACCTTGGCGCCTTTTAAATGTTTCGTTTATTCCTCTCAATAACCTTGCAAAGTAGGCGGTATAATCCCCATTTTTACCAATGAAATACTTGAGATTGGAAAGTCATGTAACATTCTCTAGGCTGGTAAAATGATTAGGCCACAATTGTAATTGCTCTGACCTTAATTTTTTTGAAATACAACATGCTCAAATTTGAGAACTGCCTTACGTAAAAACACCAAACGTTGACTCGTTTTAACTTTGCTGTGTCTTTAGAATTTTAGAGCCAACAGGGACTGAAATACCTTCTGGCTCATAAAGATAAAAATCATTCTTAAGATTGTTTTGAAGAAAGGTAAAAATTGTTTGAATCTTATCAGAACTGAATTTATTCCTGAAATGTAGAGTTTGAAATCTACCCAGTAGGCAGTAAGGAGCTACTAGCAATTTTAAAACAGGGTGTGATAGAATAATTAGCATGTTCTGTAACTAAAGCTCTGGCGGCTGTGAGGAAGGTGGAGGACAAGGAGGTCGGGAGCCCCGAGAGCTGAGTGGGAGGTGGTCTCGGTGATTTGGAGGGGAGACCCCGGCCAGAATAAGATAACCTGAAGGGAAATAGAAGGATGGGGTGGCTGCAAATGGATTTATGGATTGCGGACTTGATAACACTACCAGATGCGTGTGTGTAGGGGAAAGTGGGGATGGGGACCGTTGTGTGAAGTTGAGGTGGGGAGCAGTTAGGGGAAGAAAAGAGGAAGAAGCCCAGGAAAAGAAACTGATGTTTCTAACTTAGGCATCTGGTTAGATAGTGATGTATTTAACCGATCTATGAAAAGCAAGAGGTGGAAGAACAGGTTTGGGGAGGAAGTAATGAATTTAGTTTTGGATATGTTGGGTTTACACAGTAGTTAAAGACATAACAGTGAAGGAGGATACTTGGGAAAGCATGTAGTCAAAAAGATGGGAGACCGACTAGAGAACAACAACAAAATGAAAGTAGAAAAAGTGGAGGAACACGCTAATGAAACTGAGAAATTGCCAGACAGATGGAAGAAAAAGGCAAGAGAAAGTGAGATAATGGGTGACTTGGAAGACTGTTTCCTGAAAGCAAGAATAGTTGGTACTGTCTGGTGGGATGAGGGCCGTAAATGGATTTGGTAAGAAGAGATAAGCTTGAGTAAAGTGGGGTTGAGTAAAGTGGGGCTGGAAGCGACCCTGCCTCTTTGGAATGCGGAGGTGGAGAAAGTAGACATGGCTGCATCTTTGGTGACAGGGAATAGCTCCAGTGCCAGTGCATACCATGATTTGAAGGCTCACTTAAGATCCTGGAAAAAATACACTAAAGAGCCATGTGTACAAAAATTAAAGATTATATATTTTATCTGTTATTTCCGACTTTGTAGCCTGAATCTACTTTTACTGTTTAATTTTATAAATGTAAATAGGTTTCTCTTAAGTGAACACATTTATCTAATTCGAAAAATTTGAGGAGATTAGCTATATGACTTGCTATTACATAAGATTCTTTGTTTTTTTTTGTTTTTGTTTTTGTTTTTTAATTCCCATCTCTGGCGATATGAGAATCTTAATTTACCACATCTCATAAAAACAAATCTTATCACTGCTACTCCGGATCATGTTTTTGTTTAAAAATCATAGTTTTCAGTGTATACTTCTATTTAAATTTTACACAACTCGAGGGAAATAATTTTTATTTTAAATGCTGATATGTTGATAACTATATTTTACCTTTTCTGGCATGGAGAACTTGCACTACTTGGGATAGTTCTTTATCAGTCATCAAGGATCTAGATTTCCCCCCAATAATTTATATTCACGCTTTCACCCAGTTCTTCCATCTTCTGAAGCATGGATCCTTTGTAGATACTCATGTAGCATACATGTTGCAGAGAAAAATATGGAAGTAGAAATTCTAAGTGATTTTTTGTTGAATAATTTATGCTTGACTATAATTACAGATCTGTTCCCCTACAAGAGGTTTGAGGGATAATCTAATTACCCTATATTCCACAGAGGTGCCCAAGGGACTGCCATAAGGATGAGGACATGCCAGTGGGGCTCTGAGACCCTTACCTGAAGCTACAGCTACCCACTGCGATCAGTCTATATATTTTGTTGGGGGCGGGGGGAGGGTGGTCTGCATAAGACTTTCATCTGAAAATAAGGTTTTGAAAAACAAAAACTTAAAAATCAATGTCATGAGAGAAAGCTCTACCAGGCTCAGTGACATGCTTGAGGTCGCCTGGTTATTGACAGAAATGGACCTGTAATTGTCCATGTGGTTCTCTTTTTTTCTTTGCCTCCGTACAGTCCCAAAGATCCACAAAACAGTCTGCCAGACTATAGCCACAGTGAGGATGTCCTCTCTTAATTATTTCAGGGAGATGGTTATCTGTGCTTTTGTTTAATATGTTCAAGTAGAGATTTATTTCCAAGGTAAGAGCAACCCTTTGTGGAACAGTTTTTCTGGTCTAATAAAATTGTGAGACTTTCTGTCTATGGCTTAAGCTCTTTTATCCTATATTTGGTAGAAAAGGATAATACTCGTTTACTGTCTTCCACAACGTATTCTTTATATAGTTTGAGACTATTTATTAAATCTCCATTCTGTCTTTTATTCTTCAAGATAAAAACCTCAATTAGTGTCTGGAATATCTAACCTATCATTTGTCTCTCTGCTCTTATATAGACACAGATTCTGTACTTTAGTTGAGTTAAGTTGGAATTTTTTTTAGAGAGGTAAGAGTGGTGAAGATGACCACTTATTTTCAGTGAGTCATCTCTAATTTAGTGTATGGTGGTTGGGGTTAAGGAGTAGAACTAACCAGTAATTTTTTTCTGTTCATAGAAGACTTTTATTCTGAAGATTGGTGTTCAGGCTGATTATTAATGAATGTTCTCACTGACTACATCTGGGTTCCCAAGTTTAAACTGCTTTACAAGCTTTCTGATGAAATCTTTTCTATATTATTATCTACGATTTTTTTTTTTCAAAAAAGTTCCATACCCACTGTTGAAGATTCAGTCAGTAATTATTTCTCAAGAGCAAGGGTCATGCCTAATTCAATTTTATTTCCCAAACTGCTAAGTATTGTGTCACATCCAGAACAGACATACAATAAATGTTGAACAAATGAGTAAGTGAATATTGTTATAGTACTAATGTTGTGTCCATATTACATAGTGTTTTCAATCTTTTATTCAGTGCCTTCCTTCTAATTATTATATAATTAGAATTTTTTTCTTAGAATATCGTCATTTTGATTTTAAATTTGTTTTAGAGATGAAAAAAGCATAGGGCTTTAGGAATTGCCCAGTTGGTCCTGGGTTTTAGTTTAACTGCTAAATTAAAGTGGAGAGGTTATAGATCTTTTTCTGGAAAATAAAATGGCTTCAAAAATATATATTTTTGAACAGTTAAGTCTAAGTTCTTTATGACTGCGAATCAAAGAACTAAAACACTAGTCCAAGGAAGTCATTATATTAAAATTCACATCTGCTTCTTACCCAAAATAAAATATGTAAATGATGAAAGGTAGTTAAATTTTTCACTGACATAGTGTACTGTAAAACTTAAAACATTTGTTTTGGAAAACAGCTTAAGAAAGTCTGTGAAACTTAGAATTTATTGTTGTGTAGTATAGTGATGGAGACAAATAAAATTACATCTATTGCCCGAGAGGCTATTGTTCGTGGGCTTATGGGCTGATGTTTCTTCAAGGAAGTTGTGGCCTACAGCTCATGATATCTCATTGGGGATCCTCTTGGCATCTTACTGGTGGCTCCTCAGGGATAACATAATTCTGCATTTTGCAGCTTCTGTAGCAGCCCTGTCTTTACTATTAGATCCTCCTGTGGCAGTGAGACAAGCAAAAATGCTCTGCCAAAATTTCAGATACGCTTTAGGGGGTGATAACCAGTCCTACCTAGATGGATGCTACTAGTAGCCGAATTATGTGTCTATGAACCCCTTGAAATTATTCAGCTAAGTTCAGTACTGGAAGTTTTTTCATAAGTATGGTGGCATTTTTCAAAATAAATAAAGTGATTTAAATTTTTTCTTTTTGCATTTTCAAAAATGCCATTTTATTGAAGTATATTTGACATATGACACCATGCAAATATAAGGTGTACAACATGTTAATTTTATACCTCTATATATTGTGATATTTTTGCTATTGTAGCACTTCTATCACATTATGTAATTATCCTTTCTTTTTATGGTAATTATAAATACAATATTGTTTATATTCACTATACTGTACATTAGATCTCTAGGGCTTATTTACTACTCTTTGCAAGTTCATACTTTTAAACAACATCTATCCTATCTCCCCAACTCCATCCCCTTGTAACCACCATTTTACTGGTTTTTTTTTTTTTACTGGCTTGACATTTTTACATTACACGTGTGACATCATACAGCACTTGACTTTCTCCGTCTGACTTATCTCACTTAGCATAAAATGTTCAAGTCCATTCGTGTTGTTGCAAATGACAGAATGTCACTTTTCTCATGCTTAATAATATTCCAACACACACACACACACACACACACACACACTCCACCCCACCCCACCCCACCTTCTCACTCAGCTTTATTCCTGAGTGATAACAAATGGTCTGTGAGTTAGACCTAATTACATGGTAGGCAAAAGCCTACGTTTTATCAGTGGCCAACTGATTTATAGTATTAATGTAAAGAAAAGCATCTGTTGATATGAATTTGTCTTATTTTAGCAGACAAATAATGAATTTGGTAATATTTATGTAAATGAAAGTTTTACCAAACCCAAGGGAAAAAGAATGAAGCTTCTGGTTGACCATGAAATACTTCAAGCGTTCCTTGTGTGTAGCCTCCTTTCTTTCATGGATAGACTTTCCTCCATACGGGCGCCAGGGACACCTGATCCCACCGTTTCATGTTTGTTTTCAGGATCAGTTCAGTGATATGAGAATCAGCATAAACCAGACGCCTGGGAACGGTCTTGACTTTGGGTTTACAGTAAAATGGGATATTTCCGGGATCTTCGTAGCATCAGTCGAAGCAGGTAAATCATAGATTTCGCTCTAGTGAAATTTCTTTTTCATTAACCTGTGCTGTTCAAATACCCTTCTCCCAACCCAGAAAATATTTCATTCGATATAGGAGAAAACATGTATGAATATGTAGCAATAAAGTGAGGAGACACATCCTCTTCCCTGAGACTAATAGTTAGAGTTACAAACCACATGTTTGTTCTCCTTGCCTAACTAATTTTAGTTTTGAAGTCTTAATTTTGTGCCTTTTACAGAATTTATTTGTCAGCATTTTAGGCTTAATATTTGAAAATGCTAACAAATAATACTTAATTGAAGATTCAGAAAGAACTTTCCCTGATCAGCTGTATTTGTGGTAGATATATGCAGGCTGTATAATAAAGTGGTGTTTTCTGAGCATCCTGATCTATCTCTTGCCAATGTAATCCTCAGGATGCTTTGGGACTTTTACAAAAGGATTGCCCTTCCCCCACCAAGTCAAGCCCAGAACTCTTAGCAAAATATTACAAGGCCTAAAATTGAAAAGAAAGCTAGGATATTTAAGAGGAGTTCCTCATTTACATATTGTAGCTACATCAAATTTTATGCTAACTCTGTTTATTTCTTTGAAATTTCAAAACTGCTCTAAAGAGTTAATAGTAAGTAGTAATTTTAAGTGGTTTTAAGTTTCCCTGTTTTCTTCTTCGTTCTAGTGTGCATTTGGATTTGGAAGCTCAATTAAAATTCAATATATTTCACATTTTTAATTTAAAAGTAATTTAAAATTTCATTTGTTCTTAGGAGGTTAATAAAGAAATTTTTGAACAGATAAACTTAGCATTTCTCCTTTAAATGTTAATGAAGATGATAAATACTATCAATTTAAAAAATGTCTCTGGTGCTTTGTATGTTATAGATACTCAAATATTTAATAACTTTAAGAAATTCTGTGACTCTTTTCCACCTGAAAAATTATGAGAAATGGTTAGTGGAGATTAAGATGTCATTTTTTCTTTAATTTAAATAAGCAATGACTGTAGAACTTTTTTTTTTTTTTTAATTTTGCATTGTTTACTTTGCTTTATTTAGGTAGCCCAGCAGAATTTTCTCAGCTACAAGTAGATGATGAAATTATTGCTATTAACAACACCAAGTTTTCACATAAGGACACAGAAGAGTGGGAAGAAACCATGGCTAATGCTCGAGAAACTGGAAACCTTGTAATGGATGTCAGGCGGTATGGAAAGTCTGGTGAGTTGGTTTCACCACCATGTCTGGCTTTCTAAATTGGGAACTGGTCTTTGGCAACTGGTTATAACAGCTGGCTTCAATAACATTTTTTTTCTTTTTATTTTACTCTTTAAAAAATTTTTTACTTTAAGATATTTCGTGGTTATGTCAAGACAAATCATCAGTGATACTTCTTTGAACATTCTGTCTGAAAACTTCACTAGCAAATTTACTGAATTCTACATTGTTTATTGACTGAACTGACTTTGCATGCATATATCAACTGAATACTATTGTGTTTTTTTTCTTTAATTCAAATGTATCTCTCACTTTTTTTCCCTTTTTTTTTGAAGGCTGTCGTAATTATATCTGCATTAGGTAGTTGTATAATAATGTTGAGTATTAAGAATTACACTATGATTGGACTTTTTCTACAGCACTATAACTAACTGGTGTAAGAGAGAACACGGTCATGTACTTGTTCATTCTCAAGAAATTTTCTACATTCCATTATTGTGTTTCTTAGTTACAGAGGTTAGATGGGGAAGCACATTAAGTCTCCCCAGACCTACTAATTTATGATATCAAAATATATTACCCAGTCCTGGTTTATAGAAAGATTCAGCAAATTTGCTAGTCTTTTCATTATTAACATAATCTAACCCTTGTGTTTCCGGAAGGTGGTCTGTTGGTAAAAGCCTGAAACTTTTTATTTCTTTCACACACTACCTGATTTGTTTGTCTGTTTTATGTATGTGCATTTTGTATATGTCCATTCAGTAACTTTGTTCTTTCCACTTCAACATTTATGTGTATTCATTTCTTGATCTTCGTGTGCCAATCAGATTGGGGCAAAGACCAGCCTTCCCTGCCATTTATACGGCATAAAACCCTCAATCTCACCAGTATGGCTACCAAAATTATAGGTTCACCTGAAACAAAGTGGATTGATGCAACTTCTGGAATTTACAACTCAGACAGATCTTCAAATCTCTCAATAACAACCGATTTCTCTGAAAGCCTTCAGAATTCTGTAAGTATTTTGAGAAGTATGAGTATTTGTTTAGAGCAAAGAATTGTAGGAAGTGTGTATCAAGGAGAGAGAAATTTATTTTGTTTTAACAATTTTGATGCTACTTAAAAACAAATAATTGAATAAGATAATTTATAGTAATGAGAGTAAAATGTATTTTTGAAAATCATAGGCATTATTCATTTAATAGAGTAATAATCAGTTATATAATGGTAAAATCAAAAGATCCCATGCTTGTGTTTTGCAGGCGTTTCTTACCAATCTTTCATCATTATACCCACCTCTCAGATTTTTGTGAATGTGAAGTAGTAATTACATAAAATTATACACTATGACTTTCGATGCTTTCTTTAGTCTTTACTGGTAAAATAAGTATAGCATTGTGTGCAATTTAAAACCTCATGAAGCATTATCAGTCCTTGCATAGGTGAATTTGATGGATAGACTTACATATGTGGTTAAGAGATACTCAATTCCATTAATTGATTACAATAATTATAATGTAGAAATTTTTCTAAGTATCAAAGCAATACTTAAATTTTCAAATAAATGTTCATATTGACTCCTTTAGGTATACATTGTTGTTATCCTAAGATATTCCCTTTTCTCTAATAAGGAGATCCTGCTACATTGTGTAAGACGAGAATAAATGTTAGAGAATCCTATATAACTATGTTGCTTACTCATAAATATAAACCAAATGGACTAATGATTATTTCTCCCGTCATGTTTCTTGGAAAACTAATGACCGATTGAACTTAAAGCCATCCATACTTGCAGCTAGTCATTAATCCTTCCACAAATATTAAAGAATAATGAAACAGGTTTCTATTACATGTAAAAGGTTATAAGGAATACATTACTATCTTCCAAAACTCATCTTACTAAGACATTTTCATTAATGGGAAATGCATTATATAAGCCCAAAGTCTAGTTGGAGAGACCGTTTTTAACTGGCATTTTTATCCTCTCCAGAATGCTGAATCCAAGGAAATAAATGGAATTCGTGATGAAAGCAATACTTTTGAACTAAAAGGTAAACATCACCATTATAAATAACATTTATAGTATAAGAAAAGTGATAGCACTCAAGTTCTGTTATAAAAATTAATATCTGCGAAAGAAAAACTGATCCACTGCAAGTTGAAACTAAAAGGTTAGCACGCAGATCCAATTGCAGCCAGGTGGAAGGGTGCTAAGTTCCAGTGTTGAACATTTCAGGAACTGCAAACAGAGCTTTGGCAGCATGTCCAGGAGCTCTGAGTGAGTGCCTGTGTGCCTGAGCCAAATAAGAAAGACTGGTTTTCCGGAGGCCATCAGCCTTCTTGCTACGGTATGCTGCCAAAGGGAATCTTAGCTAAATACAAAATGATGAGTGCAGTTTCCTTTCTCTCTTTATTGTTGTGAAAGGGACAAGCATGGAGGCAGCTGGTATTAATAGGGAAATGTCAATGGCAGTAATAGTTGTTAGCAAAAGCACCCACTTGTAATGAGAAAGTAGGCAGAGTATCTAAGTAAATTTTGCTTTATGGAGTTATCACTCCCTTCCTCCTCCTGTTGTCTGTAAATAATTTAGCTACCACATACTGTGTGCTATTCCTTTGACATACAAAATAAATAAAGATCTGGTCCACACAGGCCCAGAAAGAGACCCAAATAAGATGAAACTCCTTTTACCATGAAACTAGACTGCCAGGAATGGGGCTGAGTTTTCATAGCAGTTTGGTGGCTTTGAATCTGCATTTGCCAGTTCATAGTACATTATATCAAAGCCAAATGAAGTTTATAAATTTCTTTCTCTTCTTTGATTATTTATCTTTGTATTTAATTCTGATCATTAGAAGTGACTACATTTTGTTTGATATTATATTCTTTGTCAAAGGAGTTTTGAAAGCAATGTGACTTATTTTTCTTCATGGCGTTAAATCTAAGACATCGGGTCCTGTTCTGCCAGTGACTCAGGCAAAGCAAACTGATAAGACACTTAACTCATTAGTAACTATGGGACTATATGAAGGCCCTGTCATCTGAGGGTTTTGTTTATATAAGTAAACAAATTTATCAAGTAATAATTGCACTTAACATTTTATGAATGAACTGAAGTATAGTCATCATTTGCCATAATCTTGCAACAGATCTGTAGAAGTGAGGATGTTTTCTTTTTATTCTTATCTGGCTGAACTACTTTTGTTTTACTTAAAAATGAGTGGCTATAAGATCTTGAAAACTCGGGCAAAATATTCTAGTTAGAAAAATGGTTTAATTTTAGCATTAAAAAAATATTTATTTTCCTTTGGATATTATTTATTTTCCTGTCTTCCTCCCCATTACTTTTCAGGTTCTTTTTTACTCATCTATGTTGTGAAAACTCTGAGTTACAAACAGTTTTTCTTGTACTAGAAGAGATTTTTGATTAAGCAAAAAGTTTTAATTTCCATTTTCCTAAAGCTGTGTGATCCAGCACAGAAGCTGGTACTTCCGTGAAACTAGGATGCTTATCTGCTAAAATTAATTAATCAAAATATTAGTTCTTTTTACTAATTTGAATATAGTATAGACTACTAAAACTATGTGTGTCTGTGCATTGAAATAATCCATATCTTCTATGGCTATCAGTTTTGTCATTAAAAAAATAATAATATTGCTATAGATTAGAAAGCATCTATATCAAGTATCTTTTAGTTTTCCAGTGGTGAGAAATTAAAATGAATGACATGGTATTGATTTTTTTTTTTTGTATTTTTCAACTAGCATCTGAACCTATTTCTTTGAAAAACTTAAAAAGGCGATCACAATTTTTTGAACAAGGTAAACCACCAAGCTAACAATTCATGCACTTTCATGGAATTGTTCCCACTCTCCATTCTTTCCTGATAGTCTGTGGCGCTGGGCACTAAGCCTCTTCAATTTGGTTGTCATTATGACCAAGCGACATAACCCATTTCCATTCTAAAAAAAATCATCAGGCTTTTCTTACAGTTCATGGGTCTACCTCTGTGGTAATGGGTCTTTGCGTGTCCTTTGTTCTTCTGAAGGTTTTTTTTTTTCTTTTTTAAACTAAAAAATTAAGGTGCTATTAAACATACACTCCCCCTCTGCACCCCCCACCTCCACTGGGTGACAGTAAGAAATGAAAAATTTCATTTAAGCCTTACTGCTTCCTACAAATTGCATAATATTAGATTACACCAACATATAATTGGCTAACTTTTTAAAAATCTCCACTTTTTGGTAATGAAACATGCTCTTAATAACAAAGCAGAATCGTTTACTGCTATTGGGATGGTGGCTTTGGAGTGTTAATAGGACTGCTCTGTTGACTTTGAAGTAAATTAAAAGTAAATCGATTTTGGTTCCATCTGCAAACAAGTGCATTTTGAGATTCTCTGTGTTGGTGTAGTTGGGCTGCGCTGCCTCACGAAGTCCTGTTGCATGTGGCATACCCTTCCCTTTCGTGTTTGCCTAACGCTCTGTCTCACAAATGGAGTTCGAGCTCTGTGTTTTGCTATCAAGAACTTAAAAGTAATATCCAACATTTGAGATGCAATGGCACAGTTAGTGGGCAGTGTGCTGTTGGTGTCTAAAATGTTATTGTTTCTTACTTTTAAGATTATTAATGTTTACAAACTTGCTTTTTAATATGTTTACCAGACTTGTGTATTTTGTGTTAATCTCCTAGTAATCTACCTTTGGTTAATTAAGGCTTCTCTTGACCATAAATAGAAATAGTTTACCAACTATGCATGTGCAAGATCTATTTGTGTCAGTATCCTTAGTGTTTTTGATATTTTTTGTTAAACTCCTATTTTTCTATGGTAATTTAATTGGTACAATATGATATGCTTAGCTCAAATTGGCTAATAAAAAGCAATTCCTTTTCTTTCTTTATTCTGATTTTTACTCCTTTTTCTTTAACAGGCTATTTTAGGAAAGAATATTTTCCTAAGTCTCAAAGCAGTTTTCTTAAAAATATAATTGTGTAAGTGAATAATTTGAGAGCTGAGGTGTCAGAAAATTTAAAAAAATACTGTGTGGTAGTGTATTTTATGAAATGTGCTTATTCATGATAATCATTGGACTACATACAGACACATACACTTATGTAGATCCCCCTAAGTATAAAAAGAATAACAGTATGCCCATAAGGATAACACTGTGAAAAAAAAAGAAATAACTATGTCACACATTTGAAGTTTGAATATTTTGTGGTTCAAATAATAGAAGAGGAAAAGGAAATGTTTCTTGCACATGTGTATTGTGGTGCCTTATTTAAGAAAAATAGTTCATTATCAAAAAGACCTGAAAAATGTGACTTACAGTGGTCACATTGTAATTGAATAGTGGCAAGTAAGAAATTGGATTTAGTAGATATTATAACATTTGAAATTTTTTTTTAACTAGGCGAACTATGAGATATTACCAAATATGTTAATAAAATACTCTCTAACCTATTCAGGAATATACTGTTGATTTAGCTGTAGTACCTAGAACTAGGGTGTGTCCTTGGCATCCATCGTTGATCTCTTTTTTTTTCTTTTTTCTGTTTAACTGGCCGAATTTGGAAGATGAATAACAAACAGATGAAACTAAAAAGGAAAAAGGATTTACTCTTGCTGTTTAAAAACAAAAATGATATCACTTAGCATACTGGCATAGAAACAGCTAGTGATAAAACTTTCTGAAGAATTATTTCATAGAAATGAAAATACTTATGTTGTATTTTTTTTTTCCTCTTCGCCCACGTGCTGCCATACAGGAAGCTCTGACTCTGTGGTTCCTGATGTAAGTAGTATTCATTTACCTTTGGAATAAATAAGGCGATCCAATCTTTCCCAGTTCCAAAGACCTGTTTTGAAATATAAAGCCAACTGTTCTTTGATACAGCTTAGGCAAAAGTGATATGAATAATTTATGTATGCAGAAGTGCTTCAGTAGATGACTTAATGAAGTAACATGTTCTTTGTTCGCACTGCTTCTCTTATAATTGGTTAGCTTCCAGTTCCAACTATCAGTGCCCCGAGTCGGTGGGCGTGGGACCAAGAGGAGGAGCGAAAGCGGCAGGAGAGGTGGCAGAAGGAGCAGGACCGCCTGTTGCAGGTAGAGCAGAATAATATAGACCAAGAGGAAGTACGCTTGCTCGAATTGCTTTTTCCTGGTCAATGTCAAGCAGTATTGAGAAGCAAATTAAAAAATTTAAATGCAAATAATCTCATAATAAATCTTTTGATAAGTAGCACATTTTGTATTAAAATACAAATATTTTTTGTATTAAAAATAATTTTGTATTAAAATGCAAAAACAATTACTTTTTCATTTTAGAGCTTTCCAGTCATCCTTTGAAAATCATTATTAACCCCTGTGTATAGTTTTAGTCTGTGAGGCACTGTAGTTTTTTTTCTATGCACTACTTTTTAGTTAAATTTATTGGAGTGACCTTGGTCAATAACATTTTATATGTTTCAAGTATACAGTTCTATAATACATCATCTGTATATTGCATTGTGTGTTCACCACCCTAAGTCAAATTTCCTTCCATCATCGTTTAATTGACGCCCTTTACCATCTTCATCTTCCCTCCACCCTCTTTAGCCTCTGGTGACCACCATACTGTTGTCTGTGTCTATGAGTTCGTTTGTTTTGTTTGTTATTGCTTTCTGTTTTATATCCCACATATGAATGAAATCATGTGGCTCTTGTACTTTTCTGTCTGACATTTTGCTTAGCATGATACTGTTCACGTGTTTAATTGACACCCTTTACCCTCTTCATCTTCCCTCCACCCTCTTTCGCCTCTGGTGACCACCATACTGTTGTCTGTGTCTATGAGTTCGTTTGTTTTGTTTGTTATTGCTTTCTGTTTTATATCCCACATATGAATGAAATCATGTGGCTCTTGTACTTTTCTGTCTGACATTTTGCTTAGCATGATACTGTTCACGTTGTCACAAATGGCAGTATTTCATTGATGCTGTCTTATGGCTGAGTAATAGTCCATTGTATATTTGTACACATCTTGTTTATCCAGTCTTCCATCGGAGGACACTTAGGTTGTCTCCAACTCTTGGCTACTGTGTATAATACTACAATAAACATAGGATTTTCTTATAAGTGAGAGATGGATCGGCTCTGTGAGGACTTACTTCTATAAACTCTGTGCTCAGTCTATTGCAGAGAAATTCAGTCCCCCAGACAGTTAGCTTTAGGGGCTTTAATGAATTACCACCATGGTAAAAAGTGCATTTGGGTTTAATTCTGAGTGTCTGTTCTTTCCCAATACCTACAATTTAATTCAATATAAGCTGTTTTCTACTTTGGGGACTACACTGTGATTGGGTAAAATAATATCACTGTCTTTAAAAATTGAAGTGAAAGGTGGGGCTATTAAAAATGCTAGTGAAAAAGATTAACATTAACCTATTAATTAACTAATTAATTAATATGCTATCTTATAGGAAAAATATCAACGTGAGCAGGAGAAACTAAGAGAAGAGTGGCAAAAGGCTAAGCAAGAGGCTGAGAGAGAGAATTCCAAGTACTTGAATGAGGTAATATTTGGAACATGGCGTGTTCTTCCTTCTCTATCTTGTTGGTGAAATCAGCTGAAAAATGGAAGAAGATACATTTAACTTGGCCTTTGCCTCACAATCACTTATGTAGTTCTTTGAAAAATACAGTGAGCTCTAATTTGTCAGAATTTTGCTTTGATGTTTCAACATTTCTCCTGGTTTCTCTACTATATCATTAAATAATTCTATCAACAGACACTAAGTGCATCCTATTCTTTTAAGTTACATCTCTGTCACCTGTGTGTGGCTTTGTTAGTGATAAAACATCATTTCAAGCAGAATCCTGGGCCAACTACGATAAATACTGTCTACAATTGAATATAGACTTATTTTTATAAAATTATAGAACTACATAGATTTAGATGGGTTTCTTTTCTCCCTGGTCATGTAGGAACTGATGGTCCTAAGCTCCAACAGCATTTCTGTGACCACACGAGAGCCCGCCGTTGCCACCTTGCAAACCACTTGGGGTGAAGGGTCCAAGTCTTCTGACAGGGAAGGAACCCGAGTGGGAGGAGAGGAGAAGAGACAGCAGCAAGAGAGAGATGTGAATGAGGACCAAAGGGAGAAGCGGCAGGAACAACTCACTCTTCAGAAAGAGAGGGAACTGAAGGAGCAGCAGTATCAGGAGGAACAGGAGCGGAAGCGGCGGCAGGCGGAGGCTGAGGAGCAAAGGCGCCGTGCGGAGGAACAGACACGCCAGGCAGAGAGAGAGAGAGAAACATCAGTCAAAATATACCAGTATAGAAGGTCTGTCCTTATGGCCTAAGGGCACATGAGACTTTTCAGTTGGCTTGGCTTAGCTGAATGCATTCCCTACTTCAAAGGCACCTAATTGGTTTTCCTCCTCCCTACCATCTTCACAAGGGAACACAAGCAGCTGGTGTGTACACTTTACATTGTAAATCTGATCCAGTTACCTTATTCCCTGCTCAATGTCTCCAGATGGCTTCCTCTCCCATTAGAGAACCATCTGAAGTCCTCGCCATGGCCTTAGAAGGCTGGCATCAGCTGTCTTTGCCCTTCGGTCTAAAGAGCTTCCTACAACTTACCCTCACCTGGTCTGTTACAGACAGCCTTGCTGGCCTCCTTGTCATTTCTTGAAAATGCCTAACATATTCTACCTCTGGACTTTTGCATTTTCCAGACCCTGTGACTGGAAAAATCTTCTCTCACATGTTGTCCTACACATTTTTTAAAAGTCTCTGCTCAAATGTCACCTCAGACTTTTCCAAAATACCTCGTCTAAAAGACATGCTTCTTCTCTATCCCTTCTTTCCATGTGCCTTTTCCTGCTCTATGTTATGCATTTATTTGCTTATCTGTTGGCCTGCCTGCCCCACTAAAATATAAGTTTTATGAGGCCATTACATTTTAGTTTCATTAGCCCAGCCCTAGAACAGCACTGGGACATAGCAGGCAGAAAACATGTATTTGTGGAATGAATGAACTGCAAATGTCTGTTTGTAGTAGTGGGTCTGTTTTCTGCAGCGATCGATTGAAATACTTCTGTATGTTTAGTTTTCAACTCAGAGACCATTCTCATAAAGATGCTAGAATAACATTATTTTGTTATTCATTTCTTAAACTCAAGGAAGACATTAAAGTTTTTTATTTTGACCATAAACTTTTTCCATCTTTTAGGCCTGTGGATCCCTATGACATACCAAAGAGAGAAGAAGAATCTTCAGGGTTGCATTCTAGTGACAGGTGTGAAGAACATTTAATTGTGATTTGGTTGGAGTAATTGGCTTCAAATGAATTTTTGAAGGTTTGCCTACATGTTTTGCACAATTACTGCAGCTTTTGGTCTTTTCTGCCGTGTGGAGAGATCTTGCTGCTTGATCTTTAAAACTACCTCTCAGCTTAGTAACTTAAGCTTCTGATTTTGTGAGTTAGCATTTTGGGCTAAACTCAATTGGCAGTTTTTAGTTGATTGGGCTCATCATGTTACTAGACAAATCTGCTCTTGGTTGTTGGCTGGCTGGCTGTCAGCTGGGGCAATAGGAGCAGCAGGGCCATGTGTCTTTCAACATTCAGCAAACCAGTGCAGCCTCAAATACATGGTGGCTGGGCAGAGAAACGAGAAAGCATTAAAGAGAGGAAGCATGCAGGGCCCCTTGCAGTCTCAGCTCTGAACCGGCACATCATTGCTTCTGTCACATTCTGTTATCTAAAGTAAAGTTACAAGGCCAGGGCAAGTTCACAGAGGGGAGAAAAACTCTACTTCTCTATGGGAGGAGCCATAATGCAAGGGGCATGGACACAGGAAGAATCGTTCATTTTTTTGCACTCTACCTTAACCTTTTTTTAAAAAAAAAGTTATAAGCAATGGCATAAGCTTACTCAAAATGAATCTACATGTGGACATCTGAAATGAGAATTGCGGCTTTTCTCTTAGTTTGATTAGAACTAACTGGTCAGTTTAGGGGAATGAAGATAGGATTTCAGATATCTGAAAAGTTACATATATCTTAAAATTTCCTAAAGATATATATATGTCTTAAAATTTCCTAAAGCATTAAATTTAATGTTTTTAAGTAATTTTTTAAATGCTTTGCACTTTTGAAATCACTAAAGACTTCTAAACAGAATATGTCTAAAAATATCTAGTGTATGATTATTAATTTGTGTTTTCAGAGCTGAAATTTCTTTTTTAGGAAGTTTGCCTTTGAGATAAAGAAGTTTGCCTTTGCGATAAAAAAAATACTTGTATAGGCGATCAGGATGACTGAATAGGGCTCAGAGTAGAGAGAGAAAAGAAAAGGAATATACAAGTAGTAATGGGCTGACATTAGCTAGAAAAAATTTCTAGTGATGGATGACCTTATTTGTAGTGAATGTTTCTGGGTAACTCTTTTAAAGCTATGGATTTGTTTATATATTTAAATAACCTTTATGTAGCTCATTACCTTGAGAAAATAATCAGATTGAAGAGAAAGGAAACTTAAGGAATCCTGGAAAATACGAAATACTTCTAGGCACTTGTGATACAGCATGCCCTGGAGGTGTTAATGAGTGTGTCTAGACATCTTGTAATAAAGTATTGTCATCTTTCTTAATAGAAATGAAACCATTCATGAATGTTGCTAACAGTTGTGATATATTATTATGTATGATACATTATTATGCTTTCATGTATACATACACAGGTATGTGTTATATGCATATACATATGTATTACGTGTATATATATGATAACATACGTTATTATTCATTTTTATTACCATTATTTGAAGTTATTGTGCCTAGTAGAGTGAGAATGAGATCAACATGTTGCTATACAGACTTATATTTTACCATTACAAAGTTGGGAATTTTCAGAAATTGCCTATGCCAGTATACTCTGGTACCTTTTTGGAATGCTAGTAAGTTGCTGTTTCAAAGTAGTACCCTAATGCCCCAAAAGTTGACTTCTTGTCCCTCAGGCAAAATGAAGGAAGTGGAACAGATAACCTGATGACAAATGCTTTGTATAGTAAGATTGAGATCTAGAAGTGAGTCAAAGGACACAGATTGGTCAAATCGTAGGCTTAACCTTTATACGAGATGGAAAAGATTTTCACATGTTTATGTATTTCTAGCATCAAGCTCTTCTCTCTTCTGGAGATGTCACAATTTTCTGCTAGTTTATGCAACATGAAAAATTCCTTAGTATGAAAATAAATATGGCTCTCAACAGACATAGGAAATAAATCAACTTAAAAAAAATAACCTTTTTGGTGTTCTTACTTCATAAATATATAAAGGATGTTCTTAACGAGACATATGTAGTATACTGTGTTCTATGTTTTAGGAATAAATCCAGATCCACTACTGAGCTGGATGATTACCCCACAAATAAAAATGGTAAGCGTGAAGTTTTTTCAAAATTCTTTGGCACAATTGCTTATTTATGCTATCTATCATACACTATGATCAGTATTTTTAAGGTCAAGATATTTCAGGTTCATTAAGATTCATAATCAAAATACTGAATATTTTTAGCATTCATGTATAAAAACAAAACTATCTTGTGTTTATTTTGGCTTTATAATGGAGGGAGTACTAGCAGATTAAAATTGTTTTTAAATAGCTAAAATTGTTTTTAAATGAAATATGTGAAAACTTTGCAAAGTGATGCTGATACAGCTTTGTATAGTAAATTTTGTCTTGCAGTCAAAGAAATGGTACAGAAAAGTTTTCTGCAGAATAACAGGAGACTTAAAAATTGTACATATACTTGAAATTGTACATTTAAATGACAAGATGTCAAAAAGTCCAAAATGAAAATGATTTCACTAACTGAGCAAAAACAGTCTGGAACCTGGTATTGTTAGTATAAAGTACATTTCTAGGACTACATGTAACTGAAATTATATAACTAAGAAAAAAAAAAAGCTAAGCAAAATGCAATCATTTTAAGTAAGGTTTGCATACCAGGCCTTGCATAAGCTGGGTTTTAGTCAGTTACATCGATGAATGAAGGTGCAGGTAAAGAATGAAGTGAACTTGGTGGACATGCTTGTCTAAGTGGACAGTCACACTCCTCAGCTCCAGCCTGTTACTGCCATGTGGGAGAATAAAAAAATGTGATCACCAACCATTTCTGTCGTTAAAAAAAAAGTAATAGAAGAAATCTGGACTTTCATGTTATCTTTTAAATGCTAATAAGAAATTTAAAAAAAATTTTTTTTAAACCCTCTATGAGCCAAACAGCACATCTGCAGATTCGAATGGTGTGGTGGCAGCTGATTTATCACTTTTGTTTAAAGGTTGTAGAATCTACAATTTCTTTTGGGTTCTATGATCATCCCTTTCCCTTAATACATGGGATCTTCCATTATCTGGTCCTAGTTTAACTTTCCAGCCTATTTTGCTGTTTTTCCCATTGGGAAACCTCAACTATAACCAAATTGTTCTCTCAGTTCCCAATTTATTACATGCGTTCTGTTCTGGTTCCTTTGGTCTTACCTGTTTGGATTTCTGGTTTCCTCTCCCCTGAATTTGCCCCTAACTATCATTAAAATTAAGGTTTAAATACTTCCATCTGCCATGAAACATTTTTAATTTGCAGTAATAATAGTCTCTCCCAATCTTAAACACATGGCAAGTATGATTCTCTGAAATAGTCTTGTTAATATTTGTGGCTTGCGTATTAATCTGGTTATTTTTCTAAGTATATCTTCCGGCCTTTACTAACTGGATAGCAGGTGGTGAAAGTTACCAAATATTTTATTGAAAAGCTTGGTTATATCAATCTGATACTTTTGAAATAGAAAATGTTTTATTTAAAATATGACCAAATTGATAAGCTATGTGTATGCACAAATATAAACATAGATGCATATAAGAAACCTTTGGTGTCCTTGTTCATTGCTTACTGGAAGCTGAATGAAATTGAGACACATCATGAATTTTGAAAGAATTGTAATAGCAGTGAATCTGGAGAGCAAAAGAAAACAAATCCTTACATGAAATTTCCTAATCCAAATTAAGATGGGGAGGTTGCTCTAAAGTTATGGATGTTTTATGCAATTCAGAAATTAATTAGCAAATCCAATGAGTCAAAGCCTTCAGGATAAAACCTGACTTTGTTGTCATTCATAAATTCAAAATCCAAATTATAGCTTTGTCAGTTTCTTAGAAACAAGTCTGATAGCATTCCTTGGTTATCATTTGGATTACTTGGCTATTTTTCATTTTCACAAAAGCCATTTTTGTGATTGAATATGCTCTCATTCCTACCATTCGATCATGACTTATTCTGTGACTTATACCACAAAAAGGGTCATGTCCTCTAGAGGTGCATGCATTTATGTCTTTGCTCTCTCTCCAGGGGAATTCTAAGTTTTTTGAAAGAATAGAACTTGAAGTTCCCTTGTACAGTTGTCACAGTAAGCATTCAATGAAACTGAGCTTGATTGATTTAATTTAGGAAGGAAGGGAGAAATGGAAGAGAAACTATTGCTGGATGAGCATTTTGTAACTTAATATTGTTGAAATCAATGCTGGTTGTTTCCTTTTTTAGGTAGCCGCCTCAGTTTTCCTGAGTGTGCTCCGTGGTATGCCTCTGGCTGTGGAATTAGAATTTCGAGGAATAAGAGACTGTTACTTTATGTTCCCAGGCAGCAGTCTCATTGAGAATTGGTGGTAGCATATGTGCACAATGTCACATTATTTGCTACACTGTATTTGGAGATTTATCCACTATCTGTTTTGTTTTGTTTTTTTTTTTTGAATGTGCTAATCCTACAGCTTTTGATGTGTTTTTAATTTAGGAAGCAGTAAATACTTAGACCGAGTTGGGAGCAGTAGCTCATCACAGAGGAGCTCCAAGAAGGAACAAGTCCCATCAGAAGCAGAGTTGGAGAGACAACAAATTCTTCAAGAAATGAGGAAGAGAACATCCCTTCACAATGACAACAGCTGGATCCGGCAGCGCAGTTCCAGTGTAAATAAAGAGCCTATTTGTCTGCCTGGGATTATGAGAAGGTGCGAGACATTTTAGCAATTATTTCCTCTTCTGTGCTGTGAAGCAAATAGACATGCTGGTTCCTTTGGGCACAAGAGATGTCATAATTTCTTATTCTAAGATTTAGTGGAAAAAAGGGAAATAGAGCAGATGTCACTGGACACGTGTCACGAAATGCTTATTAAATGCCAGACACACGCCGTTTGCTTTTTCCATGTCATCTCAATCTGGGGAAAATGTTTTGAAGAAGGGATGGTCATTCCATTTTTCTACACGTAGAAACTGTGGCTCAAGCAGGGAACACACGTGGACAAAACCAATGGCTAACAGGTTGCAAAGATGGATGTAGAACTCCGAATTGCGAATTGGGCACTGAAATAATTTATGCAGTTTTTAGTGCTTCCTTGGCCACTGAACTTAAAGAAATTAAGCCTCTAATTGTTTGTTTATAATAAGATAATGGTTAGATTGGAATCATAATAGTGTTTACAAAGTGTGAAAACCTAATTTTTTTAACGTTCAGAAAAGTACATAGTTATAAATTAATTGGAGATGAGAGGATGAACATTTTAAAAGGTCTATCTTGGGTAAATAAATACTGGAGCTGCTTTTATTCAAAATTTCCACAGCTGAAAAACTGAGGAAAACTATTTGTAACACATTACAAAGGGCAAACTATCTCAATATAGAAATACCTTTTGTAAATCAGTAAATAAACCCCAGCAACTTTATAGAAGCAGACAGTTGATATGAAAATAGCTCATAGAAAAAGAAACAAAGTCAATAGACATATAAAACATCAACACTACTCCTACAACAATGATGTATGTTGCTTCCAGAACTTGTAAAAGGTTAAACAAATGATTAGGTCTATGTATTGACAGTTGTCTAAGGAAACAGGAATTCTTGTTCCCAGTTGGGGGGATGATTTTTCAGGGTTTATTAAGTAAAAGTTTTTATTTTTATACCTTGTGAGAAGTTTAGTTTACGGCACTTTATCTTCTGGATATATTTGGTTCAGTATGCGAAGATATATCAAAGAATGTACACTTACATGTTATTGGCAATAGCAAAAAAAAAAAAATAATCTGAATGTCTACTAATAAGAGTATACTTAATACTCATTAAATAATGGCATGCCGATAAGGTCGAAACTATACAACTATTGAAGAATTGAAAGAGGCATATTACTCCCTAATACACCAGCTCAAAACTTAATGGGTTAAAATATCAATTCGTTGTATCTCACTATTCTGAGGGTAGACTAGGCAGTTCTTTACATGGTGTTGGTTCGGACATTTGGGCAGTTATAGTCACTTAGAGTTGGTATTGGAAAATTTTTTTGTATGAAGAACTAGATAGTAAATAATTCAGGTTTTGTAGGCCACATAAGTCTCTGTCATATGTTTTTTGTTGTTTTATGACTGTTTGAAAATATAAAATACCCTTCACTCGTGAATCGTACATATTCTGGCAGTGAGCTTTAATTTGCCGACCCCTGATCTAGAAGCTCCACTGAGAGCTCAGCTGGAGCTGTTGGTTGGGAGCCTCTCTTCTCCATATGGACCTTTCCACATAGCTGCTTAGGCCCCCTCGTGACCTGGCACCTGGATTCAAAGAGGAAACCTTGCAAGGAGATATGCTCTCATGTGCAAGTGCTTATGAAACCTCTATTCGTATAATGTTTGCTAACTTCCCACTGATCAACACATCACATGACCAAGCCCAGAATCAGCGAGAGGCACAAGGATGTGGATACAGTCACAAGATTCATTGGGAGCCACCTAAGTACTATCTATCACATGAACTGACATAAAGATAATTCTAAGATAATATATATTACATGGATAAAGCAAGTTATGAAGAATACGCATTGCAGAATAATCCTATTTGAGAATGTTAAACATAGGAACATATTACATATGTATATAGACATGGCTATATGTAAATTTATATGTATAAGTAAATATGTGCTTACATATGTGAGTAAAAGTCTAGAAGGATGCCTCTGGAGACTGGGGCAGGTAAATCATGGTAAGTAAGAGGGGAGAACCTTATTCTTCCTTCAGATACCCTTCTCTTCTGCCTGAGTCTTTCTCATCATGATGATGTAGTACTTTTGTAACTTTAAAAGAAAAAAAATACATATTTCAAATTTGGGATAAGAAAGTTTAAAAAGTAATAACAAAATTGATCAGGTAGAAAAGAACCCTTCATAATTTGGAGTCATTCTTTGTAGACCAGAATTAATATAAATATACAACTTAATTTAAGAGAGATTTTTCAAAAGTTGTGTTTCTATGGGTTATGGGTGGTGAGGGCATGAGGGCTACACAGTAGAAATGGCCTGAGTTACTTTGGAATCAGGGAGACTTTGATTTGAAAGCTAGTTCCACCACTGACTAGCTCTTTTTACTATGGACAAGTTAACTTCTGTGAGAGCAAAAGAAAAGTCATATGTAGTGTTGTGAAGATGAAATTAATATTTTTGTGACTGTGTTTAATACCTGACATATGTAAGTATATAAAGAGGTATTTTTTTTTTTGGTTAGGTTTTAAAAATTAAGATTAATATATCTACGTAAGCAGCCAAAGATTTAAAAGAAATATGTCATTTTTGCCTTAGTATCTATTTGTCCTTTCCACTTTGTATTTATTCTTTTACTGAAATACCAAGTAAATAAGCATGAAAATAAACGAAGGTTAATGGAATATGAAACATTATGATGCCTTTGATAAAAAAACATTAAAAGTAATTTTATATGTAATTGGACCTGTTAGATTAATACTTGCTTATAAAATACATAAAATGGATAGTTTAATGACTAATGTTAAATAGATTTCTAATTGAATGTGTTATATAATTTTAATTAATCCTTTCTATATTTCAGGGGTGAATCTCTAGATAACCTGGATTCCCCAAGATCCAATTCTTGGAGACAGTCCCCTTGGCTCAGTCAGCCTGTAGGAGTCTATGCTTCTTCCTCTGTTCAAGACTTCAGTCGCCCACCGCCTCAGCTGGTGTCCACGTCAAACCGTGCCTATATGCGAAATCCGTCCTCCAGCATACCTGCTCCTTCCGCTGGTTCTCTGAGGGCCACCAATGCACCTTCCCCCACACCACGAAGCCATTTCTCTTCTCCTTCATCATCAGGCTCCCAGCTACGCAACAGGTAAGGCCCTGTGGGTTTCTCCTTTTCTTAGTTTCAGGGATTTTTTTTTTTTTTCATTAAAATTTTCCTCACATCTTGTCCATGCTTTCCAAAGAAAGCCAGGCCTTTTCGAATGTGTCAAATGCAGTGTCCTTTTATCAGATCAATTAAGAAGTCTTTCTTAACTGCTTTCTAAGAACATTTATGGATGTCCTGTGAAGCCATTGCAGACCTCTAAAACATGTGCTTCATTGCCACTGTCTCCTTTGCTTATGATATCTTAAAGACAGATGTACCTGAATAGTTTTCAATATAATCATGAAAATATACTCATTGAATGCATTTGAAATTTATGAGTAAAGGCAGTATTGTAAAATATTTGACTATTTTAATGAGACACAATACAAACTCATTTTATAGGAACCGAGTATAAAAGGAAAGCATTATAATCAAGCTCCGTCGTCTGTGGAACTTTTAACAAGCCGAATAAAAAAAATGTTAAGTAGTTAGTAATGCTTGTTGGTTATTTGATTTCCAAAACTATTACTTGCCTCTTACCTGGTTTGCCAACAATTTGTTCAGACTCCATCAACTGATTCTGTAGGTCATATGCCACAGGAATTGTATAACAGTTATAATGATAGGTCTTGACATAAAAGTTGCCTTTGAATATGGACAGAAGCTCAGTTGTCAACAGGTATTGGGTTTTCAGATCTGCTTAACTTCACTACAGATCACTGATGCTTTTCGAAACCACATACAACAATGTTTCTACTGTCACCCTAGGGAGTTCTGCTGGCATATACTTCTTCTCATGCAAATGAAATACTGAAAAGTAGAAACACAATTATCGATATTAAGATTTTTCTTAAGCCATCAAATAAGGGATTTTGTTAAGAGAATATATTTATATCCATCTAAAATATTACTTGTACCAGGATCTATAAAATGGGTATCAGAGAGTTTGAATTATGAGAAGAAGTGGGGATTTATGGGGAAGATGAAGGTCATAAGGTGGGGAGGCAAGGCAGAGGAGAGAGTACCCATTTCTTTACAGAGAGCCCCACCCTAGGAGAACAGATAGGAGACAGGTCTGGACTTTTCTGCCCTGCAAATGTCTCTGTCTCAGAGGGGGTGCTCTAACATGAGGCACTCCACAACTATGCACTTAAAAGTGCTGTGCTGGTTCCGAGGGATGCAAAAGCAAGAAGTGGCCTTCCCCTTCCCACTTGGGAAAGAAGGTAAGACTTGCATCCAAAGGGAGGTAGAAACTCTCCTTACTTACCTAAATGGCAGCTGTCATGCAATTTTCATTTCATTCTCCGGAGGGGGAGTCCGGTAAGGTAGAGGCACACTCAGGAAAGCACTGCTACTTCTGTTTAACTTGAATATTGGGTGAATGAGAAAGAGGATGAGAAAATAAGGTTGAGACAGTGGGTTGCAGTCCCTCTCTGAAGTCGAGGCTGCTTTTTCAGTGTTCTATGGCTGAAGTGACACAATTATAGAGTCGAGTTTTGGCAGGTCTAACTGCCAAAAGAGGCTGTTGGCTGAATTAGAGGAGGGGGAGGCTATTGCTGTGTACAGATATGATCTAAGGAGGGTAGCATCTTGAAGTGCAGAATGGACTAATTGCACTGAAATTGTTCATTTAGGTGAATAGGTGTCAAGCTTTCAGAACCATCATGGAGATCCTTCAAGGTACAATATAATCAAGGCATACTTTGATTGGCTGGTGAAAGTTTTCCTCCTACAGATATACAGAGACTTTCTTAAATTGTTAATGTTCAGACCGGAGTGTGATTTTAAAATAATAACTTGAGCCGCACAGATGAAAGCCTCCATTCCATTCTTGTTCTGCATCTAGGTCAGTCAGTGGGAAGCGCGTATGCTCCTACTGTAATACCATTCTGGGCAAAGGAGCCGCCATGATCATCGAGTCCCTGGGTCTTTGTTATCATTTATATTGTTTTAAGGTGAGACTAAGATGAACAGCCTCTGTAGGCCCGCAAAGCTTTGCTTGGAGAGCGCATGGCTTCTTTGAGCTCTGGGTGTGGGCGTGCCATTAACAAGCTAGGTGCTGCTGTATTTGTCAGTCTGTGCTGCGTTTTGAGTTTCAAATTGCCTACTACTATTTAGTTCTCAAATCTTGAACCCAGCTCCAAAAATTAAATTTAGAAACACTATGCACTTTTTATTTCCAATCTGTTAAGATTCGCTTAGTAAAATTTACAGTGCATAAATGCTTTCTCTAACATGAGATTATAGGCACATTTGAAATGTAATTTACCAATGTCATCAACAGCATGGGGACAGGACGTACAATTATAACAGTGTCAAATAGCCTAGCTTTGAATAGGGAGAGTAAGGAAAAGCACTCTAAATATTATAAAGTTATACAGCCTGATTGTACCTGACAGGTTTTTGCACTGAAGAAAGAACTAAGCCTGTAACTACTTTATTTCAAAGTAACTGTCTTTAGAGACATACCTATTTGATTCTTGAACTTGTGTTGAGCTGAAGGGAGACTCCAGTTGTTGATCCTGGAGTTCCCCAGACCACAGCTTGTTTAAGCTTGGACATCACTGGCTGTTGCTGGCTTGGGCTGTTCCTAGGCATAGCAGTATGAATCAAAATGATTAGTGTTTGAGCACATGGAACCAGAATACCCAGCCTTGAAGTGGAAGAGCCATGTGGGAACCTTTGCCTAGCTAGTGCTGCGGCCCACCCACTGAGTGCCAGAAACCCAGCCTTCATTCCGGTGGCCAGATCCTTCAAGAGGTGCTTTACCCGCTTTCCTTCCCTTGAGAGAAATGAAGACTAAATTTCTTTAAGTGAATCAGCGAATCATTTCTACTCTTTTGATATATTTAGAATGATCATCTTGGTTCTTAAAATTGGCTTTAGGCATTCTTTAATGTCTCATCTGGCAGGCTTGATTTTAATCTACTAATTATCTTTTGGCTTTTTTTTTTTTTTTGCTAAAACATCTAAAAGCTTAGAAGCTGCATTTTGCGCTCCGTCTCCCTCTCCGGGAGTACCCCAAGCTTTCTTGAGCTGACTGAGTATGGATTTTTTTTTTTTTTTTGTCCCCCAGTGTGTGGCCTGTGAGTGTGACCTCGGAGGCTCTTCCTCAGGAGCCGAAGTCAGAATCAGAAACAACCAACTGTACTGCAACGACTGCTATCTCAGATTCAAATGTAAGAGAGCAAATCAGGGAGAAAATTTCTTGTCTTTTACGGAGACCACGGGTTCCCATGCATTTCCCTGAACCTGCAACCACCTCCCCCTCAAGCTCCTTGCCTTAGAACTCCAGGTTTTAGGAATCTTAGTGTGTCTTCTCCAAAGAGGGTTCAGTGAGTAAGTCAGCACTCAGCATTCTACCCGCACGAGGGTGGGTCGTGGGGCCGAGGGTTTGGAGAGGGATGTGTGCCCGAGAGCCAGGCCAGTGTCTAGTGCAGTCTGCTTAGTGTCTGGAGAAACTGCTAATGACTTGAAGATACAAACAAACCAAAACAGAAGTAAAATGGATCTTTGGTGTAGACTGTAATCTGCGTCTGAGCTAAGGATTGGTCCTTCATTATTAGCTGATTTCTATTATTTAGCAGTGGGCTTTGATTACGTGATTTAGAATATGATCAACTTTTAAAACTGGTTTAAAGGTCATAAAGAGTAGTCAGTCTATGCTTTGTTACTATATCAATATATACGATATTGTAAAAAGGAGAGCATTAATTCTGATTGTATGTTGTTTCAGTGTCATATTTGGAAAAATTGAATTTCTCAAAAACTTCACATGCTATTTTGTGTCTAAGCATGTCTATTTGTAAATGCGTTATGAAATATAGGATAACATAATGAGGTTGCATATTGTTTACAGCTACATAAAACAACCATTACTGCTGTTTGTATTTTGAACCTCGATGCTGGTAACATGTGTTTCTTCCTTATCGTAAAAGGGTGTTAACAAGTGGTATCAGCAAAACCCTTTGCTTTTGAACTCAGAGGTATTTATATGGCCCTTTATGTGAAGAGTGCTTTGGAGATGGTTTAAACCCAGTCAACTCTCTTTTATCTGTCAGCGGGTTCTGAGCCTTCTCATCCCAGTGGTTTAGTCCTTCCTTTCCAGATGCCACCAGAGGTTGGAGAGCATCAGGCTGGGCATGTAACGGGGGGAGTGTGTATATGTGTGTGTGCTTTTCTCTCTTTAATCAAATTCCAAAGCCGACTATAATTGATTTTTGGAATCGTCATGGAAAAATTGCCCACGCCTTTTCTCTCCTCCAAGACAAATAAAAGAGAGTTGACTGTAACTTACTTCTATATCAGCAGTTAATTTTTACTCCATTTGTGGAGACAAAGAATTCTAGCCCCCAGAGGCTGTCATTTGCCTAGCTTTATCCTAAGTGAGTGATAGGGTGCCTCTTTCCCCCTCACGGGGCCATTCTCTGAGTGATTACTGCTATGCACCCCAGGTGGCGATATCACAATGTTTCTGAATCTAAGCACTTTTCTTTCTTCTTTCCTTGCCTGATCAGCTGGACGGCCAACCGCCATGTGATGTAAACCTCCATGTGAAAGCACTGTTGCAGATAGAAGAAGAGGTGGTTGCTGCTGATGTAGATCTATAAATATGTGTTGTATGTCTTTTTTGCTCTCTTTTTTTAAAAAAACGAATAACACTTTTTTTGGCCTCTTTAGATGACAACAGAGCATTATAGTCTTGGTAGAACCTGTTTTTTTGTTGTTTATTTATAAGAAGGTAATTACGTGTGAGGAAAAGTGCAGTATTTACTTTCTGAGTTTAGCATCTTAAAAGTACATGGGAAAAAAGAACTTTGAAATATTTTTGAGGCTGATAATGAACTAGTTTGACTTTCTGGTGGTGTTTTGAAGAGGGTTTTTTATTGTTTTTTTTTTTTTTAAAGGTTCTGAAACATTATTTGAAATAGTTAATATAAATATGTAATTGCATTTATTTGCTCTTGCAATGTATGCTAAATTAATACAAAGCCACATGGAAAATTTCACTATAATCCACTCCCAAATTTGCTTTCTGTATCTTTTTCAACTATATATTATGATTTTAAGAAAATCAGCTTATAAAAATTTTATTTGCTTGATGAGGAAAGCTCTGTGTTCTTTACCAGAATTGTCACTAAGCAATTTCCAGTAGAAAGCTGCTGCTCATTAATGAAAAATCATCATAGTTTGTATACCAGAACTTTTCTCCAGAAACTAGTAAGCTTTTCTGTTCAACTACATTTGTAAATAAACTTGCTGATGCATTTAAGGAGTGGTTCTTCTTTTTCTTCTCTGTGTGTGTTTGTATGTATCTACCTTCCAAGCATTTCGGTCATTTTAGTATGTGGCTTTTCTTGATATTTTATTTAGTATCTTTACTGAAGTATAAATTGGCATATAATAAACTGTACATATTTAAATTGTATAATATGACAAGTTTTGACATACGTATATACCCGTGAAACTATCACCACAATCTTGATATTGTTTTTACTGAAAAATTTTAACAAGGAACTTTATTTTTGATGAAAAGTTGTTCTGAATGTAATATATTTTTATGATAAGAGCTGGAGCAAATGGTGAATTTTTGGATCATTTGGATAAAATCTTTATTCTTTTGCTTCCACAGTGATAAAAGAGTATAACAATGAATTTAGAAAATCTATATAGCAAAGAATATGTTGATATCTCTAATGTTTTAGAAATATGGAATGGGAATGCAAGAATACAAAACTAGCATGCTTTGACAAAAATATAAACCCGAGTCCTTTATAAAGTTGAGTGAATAACTCTAGGATATGAGAACTGTATTAGAAGAGGTTAGAAATATTTATAAAGCTCTAATTTGGAAAAAAATTAAAAATTTAAGTCCAATTCTTACTTTTGTTTAGTATTCCTTATTTATGATTATTAACATACATGTTTTTATTGATGAAAATTATAAAATGCCCTAAAGCATAATGAATATAATTTTCAATTCTGAACTCCAAAGAAAAGAACTGTGTTTGAACTCATTTCAATATATTTATTCTGCATTCTTAGTTAACATTGGACTGTGAATTTTTCCATGTTCTTAAAATCATTTCTATTTATCTTTATTAATGGTTACATAGTGCTCCATTGTTTGGTGCTATTAATATTTAGTTGTAACTCCTCTACTGTGTACATATCAATTATTTCTAATATCTAACATTCTAATATATATATATAATATAGTTATATATATAAATATTTCTAATATAAATTCTATGGTGGACTCTCTATGATCATATCTATTTCTTTATATTGTTTTAATAGACATGAGATTATTGGCTCAAAGATTCTGCATTTTAAGGCTGTCTTGATACATATTGCCACAGTGGTCTCCAGAAAGTTGCTAGTAGCTTAGACTCTCACAAAGAGCACATGGGCTTGTCTATCTCACTGCATGTTCAACAAATGAATTTCTGTTGCCTTGTTTCTGCCTGACATGTAGTAGCCCTCAATATGCTGTAGCTGAACAAATTAATAAATAAACCACTGCTTCAACTTCTGTCTTGTTCACCGTGCTTGGTCCTGACTCTAGAACAAGCTTTAATTCTTACATAATTTTAGTTTTCTTATCCAACATCTTTTCATTACTCCTTTTCATCTGTCTTTTGATTTTTCCTCTTATCCTGTTGATTTTTCTTCTTAGTATGTCCTTATGACATTTTTCTCTTGTTTTTATTTTACGTAGTGATAATAATTTTGTTGGTACAAATTACTAGAAAATCTTTCAGAGATTCTTTTCTGAGACATTGGTTCTATAGTTTCTTTGTATAAGCCCATGAGTACTTATTACTTCATCTAGGAACAAGGGAGGATTCAGTCACTCAATATTTTTTATTCAAACTTTTGTGCCGGACACAGTTTTAGGCACTGTAGTACAGCAATGAGTAAATACAAAGTCTTGGCTCTGATTGGGCTTAGATTTCTAGTTAGGGGAAACACCGATAAAGAAATAAAGGAAATGTGACATGCAGATTGTGATAAGAGCATTGAAGAACCAATGATCAGGGTGAGGAGGATACATAATTGCTGGAAATAGAAGTTCGTTAGTGCTTTTATACATATATATGTTTTCAGAGTCAGCCTCTCTAATCTTTGAGCCAAAGCCTGAAGGGATGAGGGAACAAACCTTCCAGATATTCGAGGGGGAAGCATTCCAGACATAGAGAACAGCAAGTGCAAAAGTCTCGAGGGAGAATATTTGGTGTGTTCAAGAAGCAATCATGTGGTTGGAATGGAATGAGTGAGAGAGGATGGCAGGAGACATGGGGAGGGGAGGGCACAGGTCAGCAGGCCATTATGGGACTTGGCTCTTACTCTGAATGGGATAGGAAAACACTGGAGGGTTGAGCTGAATAGCGAAGTAAACAGACATGTTTTAAAAGGTCCACAGACCACTCTGTGTACAATAAATTACAGAAGGACAAAGGTAAAAACAGGGAAATGAGTTTGGAGTCTATTGAAATTGTCCAGGCAAACAGTGTTCTCTCTAACAGCGTAGCAGCAGGGAATGTAATGAGGAGTGGGTAGATTATATAGTGTATATGTGCATGTATTTTGAAAATGAAGCTAATACAATTTGATGATGGATTGGATGTAGCATGAGAGAAAGGGAAGAGTCAAAGTCTAAAGTGTTCTGAAGAGCTGAAAAATGAGATCGCCATTTTCTAAAATAGATAAGGTGGATAGAGCACATTTGGATGGTAGAGCAGGGAGATCAGAGCTTTGGTTTTTAAACATGGTAAGGTTGAATAATAGTCTACGAGATAGCTAAATGACTGCGTCTAGTAGGCAGCTGGCTATGTAAATCTGGAGTTCAATGGAGAAATCCAGGCTGGAAATAGAAGTGTAGAGTCATAGCAATATAGGTGGAATTTAAGTAGAGAAGTATGGTATCGTCTAGCTTCTGATTTTAACTAGAGCAGAGAGAATGTCTAAGGACTGATTTTTGGGGGGTCCTCCAGCACTAGAGATCAGAGATGCAGAAAATGTACAATGAGGCAGAAGAAGAACCAAGACCCTGGTGCCCTGGAAGTCAAATTAAGACCAAGGGACTGGTTGTGTCAAATACAGCCCTGAGACCAGTAAACTGAAAAATGAGTTGATGTCTAGCGATGATGCACGTATTGGTGTTGAGTGATTGCCCTTCTCAGATGTTCAATTGGGTGTTCTTCATGTATATAGTATCTAGCCCAAGTCCCAGTGTCTAACAACTATTAACTAAATGGTCTTAATGTTTTTGTCTATTTTCTCAGAGAAAAGAAATGATAGAGAACATGGAAAACCATCTGCAGGCCACGTTAAATCTGTCCCCTTCCCTTCCCCATAATGTTTTAGGAATTAGAACTGTACTTCCCAGTATGTTGTGATACATGTGGTCCTTCTCTTTCACTGCCCGTCCTTTGGTTTCTAGGAGAGTCTCAGAATATCATGGAAAGAAAGGTACTGGGGTTGGAGTACACTGGTGCCTCCAGAGGCAGAGTCAGCCAGCTGGGTGGCAAGTCCATTCTGCCATGTTCTGATACACAGATTTTGGGTCTCTTAGCTAAGGCACAGGCCCTGGTCACTCTGCCTCATTTCAAGCTACAACTAAGCTTTGTTCTTACATTATGATTTATAGTTCAGCTTCATGATAGTTGATGGATATCCCTCCTCCCCCATTTCTAGCATCGGATTGCTAGTATTGGACCTCACTGTTAAGAATTTTCATCATTCTCTATGTCTTCATATGTATGCTTTATAGAAAGCAGGGAGAGACAGTCAGAAATTGCTGTCTAGATACCATATTAAGGCATAAGAAAGGTCTATGTTTTGATTTTAATAAATATTCTTGAAAATTACCTCTTTATAGTCTTAAAGAGGCAATAGGTACACAAATGTATTCTCTAGCTATTCATTTCTTCAGTGTAAACACTTGAGAATTGCCTGCGTGTATGTGTAGGATTATTCTTACCCCTCTTACCTCAGGGTGCTGGGTCAATTGGGAATCGTTACATGAGGTTAAGTATCAAAAATATGAGCTTCATTTGTGCTGGGAAACTTCCTACTTCCTCCTCCTTGAATTGAGTTTAACACGTGATTAGGAAAGAGAAGAGCTCTTTGTCCTCCATTTTTGTGAGCTAACTCTGGGGAGGAGAGAAGACTGCATGGGGTCTATACCAAGCAGCTTCAAAAGACTAGCTCAGAGAAGAATTGAGGGGCCAGGCCATGTGCGAGTGGCAAATTCTAACATTCTGTCTGTCCCAAAGTGGGTAGTGTTTGTCACTCTTCCCTCAATGGGCAGGAACACTGAGCAGCATAAGGAGAAAGGATGATTTCTTCAATATCTTTGAGAAAGCCAACGTTTTTATTTTATGATTAGGCATAAATGTAGAGAAGGGGAGAGGATGATTTTACCCCTTATACACGTTAAAATCTGGAACCTCAGCAGTGCTAAATTCAGGAAGGAACACAGCATGAAAATTAAATTTGTTCTGTTCCAGGATTTAATCTTGGCATTTTACTTGAAATTTTCATTTATATCATAGGGTGAGAATTAGCACAAAAAAACCACCTATCTGGATTCCAATGAATTAGCATGGAATAATAACTACTTTATGATTATTAGAGTTAAGAGACATGTCTAATAGGTTATGTCAGGTTGAATTTTTACTTGTTTTATTTAGCACTTTAACATCCATCCTTATATTCTGGAAAGAAGAATTAAAGGCATGTTAAAGTAAGTCCCAGTTCATAAAATGGCATATAAAAAACAAAACAAATTTGTGTTTAAAATCCCTGTGTACAGGACAGGAAAAACCAATATCTAGATTTTTGTCATAAAATGTGTAGGTACTGGGAATATATTCGATAGATACAAAACAATCCGTGTTCTCATATGGAGGAGAGAGGCATCTGCCCAAAGGATTCTAGTATGAAGTAGAAGAGACCATGGCTATGCAATACAGTATGAGAATCCATGAGTCATTTACTCTAAGGAAGTAGAAGCAACTTCACAGTAGAGTTGATGTTTGGACTGCATCTTTAAGAGCAGATACAATCTCAGCAGATAGAGCATGCTGATCCTTTTGAGTTGGGGGTCAAACCCCCAAAGATTCCTTCCTTACTGTGTATTCCCATCAAAACTATAGAGTTTGCCCGTTTTGCAGAGGAATAAGAAGATATCTAGGTATGCTTTGTGTGCTAATGTATCCATGAAGTGGTGAAGATGTGACCTAAGGTGGTCAAACTGCAAAAAGA